CTCCCTCCCTCCCTCCCTCCCTTCCCCTCCCATACATTCCAACTACGCCCAACACCCTACACGCCAAATGAAGAACGCACTCCTGTGTGCAATGTTTTAGAGCTGTTTAGGCGAGTCTATCCCCCTGTGAGTATGGCACATGGGCTTGGGAAGCTCCTTCGAAAGCTCAATTGGGCTTGCGACTGGAGTCTAGTGGGTTTCGTCCTATGGGCCTCGGGTGGCAAAGCTTTGCAGCTCAGAGCTCTGACGCACCGACCCGCCGACCCAGCCCAGGAGCGAGATGCCAGAGCTGACCTTCGATGAGTTTGTTGTCCTGATGGAGCAGACTGACTAGTGATCGGGCGTGAGGAGCCAGGTTTGGACATGTGGAGGCTTATGGATTGGCGCAGCTTGTGGTACAAGTAAGTAAGTAGGTTCCTGATTTGAGAGCTTACTTACCCAAATCACCACAAACCAGGGGACGTTCTGGGTGTTAAGGTTAAGCTTTGGGCTAGTTCTAGTTGCTGCGAATCATAGTAACCCGAAAGTGTTACAGGTTGACAATTGGAGTCCTCAACAAGCAATCGAAGAGCCGCGACATATCAGCAGTCTTCAAAGCCCGGCTAACACACTAAATTGCTGCGGCCTATCTTTGGGCCTGCAGACCGGGGATGACCCACGGAAGTCTGTAGCTGAAAAGTTCCCGACTGCTCGACGCACCTACCCGTGTAACGACTGCCCGACGTTCTCGAACCTGTCTTCTCACGGCTCCCTAGCTGCACAACGGGGTAAGCAGTCCGAACTTCTGCCGGTGCGATCCCCAGGCTCAACCATCCTGGTATGCATTAGCATCCAACAGCTGGAAAGCCTGATGATCTAGAGGAACCTTGCAGTGTATATCAGGCTCAGGCTATGATGGTGCGCCGTTTCGGCAAGACCTCCCAAATGCTCGACTAAGAATGTCACGTGCTAAAGTTCGGACTGCTTTCCGCCCGTTCTGTTGGATATAGTCGTTGTCCTCACTCTCCACAAATGGTGGTGGAGTTTGGCTGCAAAGCCGTTGTTGCATTGGGTCCGGAACCCTCACCAAGCGTAAGGTACGGCCTTAATCCCGAACGGCTGAGGATCCAACGCTTGGCCGAATCGGTTTGGTTTGGAGTGTTTTGGGTTAAGGTCCTAGAAAACTTAAAACCGACCCTGAAACAGATAATTCTCACTACGGATCCATGATCCCAGTGATGCGATTTGACGCTCTAGCGGCGTGGTGGTGAAAGTACGGATGCGTGACGCGATTTTTCAAGCGCCGCCTACGCCTGCTGCATGTGCCATCGAGATGATGGGATGTCAGCCCACTTCAATCGGGGGTGTCGTCGATTTTTTCCAGAGAAGGTTCTGCGTGAATGTCTGAAATCCCCATGCCCAAAGCTCAAATCGTCTGCGCTGAAGCCACGGATCCCGAATATCCTTTTGTCGATGACATCCCTGGTTCACCACCGTGCTTAGGACAGAGAGGCCCGGCCTTGTCGACGTGGCTTTGCCAAGTCAGCTTGTTCGTAGAGTGACAGAGACTGTTTTTCAAGTCCAGGGCCCCTGTATCCACCGGTGAGCCCACCCTGGTCGCACCCCAAGGTGTCCAAATTGCGCCGAACTTGGCAGCATTGTCAAAATGGCTCTTAGTCTCGGAGAGTCTGCCCAGTAGTTACAGCGCAGGGAAGCATGTCCATCTGATTTCCACGCATTACCAGGAGAACCCAGCCTCCAATGCACACATTGCGGCTAGATGTACGATACTTGGAAAGTTTCGTTGACATTTTCAGACAGCCGCTGCTCTTAGCCTTTTGTCGTGCCGGCCGCCTTTAAGGTGCCCGGTTTATCTCAAGGGTACTGCGGTGGATTCTGAACTTGAAGCGTTCAGGCCGAATGACGCTGCTCTTCCTCGCCTTCGTGAATGCCTCATCTGCATTCGTGAAAGGCTTCAACTACAAAGTGCAGGAGGCCGGAGTGCAGACGCGGCAGCCTAACACTGAAACTGCGATCGCCGGCTCCCAGGCGGTCGTCCAGCGCAAGGCCCTGCAAAAGGATCTTCTGAAGAAAAAGACAGAGTTTCTGGACCACGTTCCTGCCTCGGTGACTGCTCTTCGAAAATCCATATGCGCAACCGAGCAGCTAAGACCTGGCAATGCATGACATGCGGCTACGCAGAGGCCTCTTCCTCAGCAGGTATCGTCTGGACTTGCATTTCCTTTCTCCCGACGTGATTTTGGAAGAGAGCGGTTGTTGCTTTTGCGTGGGTGATGATTGTCCTTGCATCTGATGTTTTTCCACTTGTTGTGATTACAATTACAATAGGTGCTGTTGCCAGTCGTTGCACCTGTTCGACGTTCGAGTTTGAACTAGACTAAGGCGAATGGCCACGTCGACGCAGACGAGATCCGGATATGATGCAGGCATGCCATGTTCCAAGTCAAGCACGACAAGTAGTGCCTACTTAGTTGGTCTAGCTAGCAGTGCCTGGTTCTAGTAGTAGTAGTAGTAGTCGTCGTCGTCGTCGACGACGACGACTACTACTATTACTATAACTACTGCCACTACTGCTCCTACTTCTACTACTGCTACTA